AAAAAAACAATTTCTCATTAAATGATAATTATAATATATATTTTTGGTTACACAAATATTGATAGAGTTCTAATTGTTTAAAGAGTGCGCGGCTGTCCAACCGAAGTGTCTTTCGAGCCCTTTAACCCTTCGCCGTTTCAAAATAAGAGAAGTTACGGTAAAATTTGTGATAGAGAAAGTTGTATCTCATTTAATCACCTTTAAAATAGTATATTACAAGTTATGATAAAATCAGAATTAAAAGAGTTATAATCCAATTAATTCGGGGGGTGGTGACAAAATGCAAATTGTTTTCACTTCTGAACTTTAGATTAAGATTAGCTGGGCATACGTTTTTTTCCTCTTCATTTACTGCAATAGTTTTGTTGATAGTAGGTTGAATAGAGCACATGTGAACAAAATTTGACAAATTAATTCACTTCAAATATGAACTTAAGTAATAATATATATCGAATTATTAGTATGAAAAATGCAATTTAGATATTAAAATACTAAAAGCCAGTTAAAATATGGTACGAAATTATAAAAATTGTAGGCAACATTATTGAAGCAATTATTTTGGGTAGAAAAATCCAAGGTGATATTGTACCTTGACCGCATGCTATATATTAATTCTTTCTGAATTTGTTATACTTTTTAAAAAATTTCAATTTTCAACACGTGTATCTATTCTATGACAATAAATACATGGTGATAAATTTGGAAAATCAATGTTTTAGCCGTGAATAAACAAGAAATCATTCATTTAAACATCCACATCTACAGGTATGTCTAAAAATATTGTATAACCCTTAAATTCAATAAAATAAATTGAGCTATTGGAAATAAATTTGTTCTATAAATTGCAGTGTATAATTTTTAATATATAATTTTATTGAACATATTTTAATATTTGTTAAAAGGATAATTAAAATGTTAACTGTGGGAATTGAAAATAATCATTTTATTTGAAACAGTACTACATTTAACATCACTCATATATTGGTGTAAATAGTAACTCGAAAAACAATAATGATTATTTTTAACTGAACGGTATAAATATTAGTATAGGATATTAAAAAACGTAGAGGTGGGTACAGGACAACGTCTGTCGGGGGCATCTAGTATATATATATTAGGTCGGGCCAAATCATTATTGGAGTAAAATTAAGCGATATGGGCACGTTTTGATATAAAATATTTGTGTTATTTAAATGAATTTTGACTGCAAAATCATATATCGCAAATAACTCTTTAGTCAGCGAAATTTTCAATAAAATACTGTTTTTAATAAGTAAATGTATTAATTTAGGCATGTGAATAATCCAAATTGTGAGTTATATTTTTATTAATAGTTTATGCGGGGGTTTTTAAATCGGGTTTAGTTTGTTGTTATTTATTTCCATCAGAGTGCGCTAGTATTTTTTTATTATGATTCTAGAAATTTCGAAAATAATAGATTAATGTGACAAATCCGCATAAATATTCATTCAGTTCTTTACTAGGTCCTCAAGTATCAATGGCAGAATTTTTATTTAAATTCAGGCGCAAGTGCCAGTAATTTGAATCATATGCGCTCGCATGATCAAATTACATTTGGACCAGCAGAAGAATTTACAGGAGTAAATCTTCCGACAATTCTGGAAATTATCAGGTATTATTTTTATTTGGCGGAAAAATCAAAAAAACAAAATAAAATGTTTTCATATAAAACATTTACTCCAAATGTGGTAACGAAATTGATTCAGACGTGGGAAAAAATTGATATTCCAATTATGGAGAAACGAAGTATCGCTAGAAAATTGAACCGATTGATTGATAAATATAAAAGTACAAATAAAAGCAAGTCTACCCAAGCATCATTTCAGGAGTTTGTAGAATCCACGAATGAATTATTTTATATTGAAAAATGCAAATGCGACTTGCGAAGAATACTGTGTTCCTGCGGATTGATTCCAGAACATTTACAAGCGTTTATGATGGATCAACATAATGAGAGTAAATCTACGATACCAGAATATATTATAAAAATTGAAGATGAAGTATCAGCATCTACAATAACTAGCAATATTACTCCAGGTGAGACATATACTCCAGATGTTCGTTCTGATTTTAAAAGCAGTTCGGATAGTTCTCAAAATACTTCTCATATAAAACGTGGACCATATAGTCAAAGATATAAGGCTTTAAGCTATGCCTTAATGTGCGACAGATTTGCAATTTCTGATAGAGTTGGTTCTGGCGTGGTGACAGCAATTCTGCATGACCTGGGCGTAATGGATGATTGGGGCAATCCTGTCATTATGGATAAAAAAAAGCGTTCGTGAGGGACAGAAAAATAGGCAAGCTCTACACAAACAATATGATTCTTCTGAATTAATAGCATTTTCATTCGACGGCCGAAAAAATGATTCTATTACCATGGAAAAAATCGGTAAGAAGTTTCACCCACGAATGATTAAAGCGCATTTAGTTATTTCAAAGGAACCGAATTGCCAATTGTTGGGTTACACAAAATTGGTAAATGAAGATTCGGAAAGTAAAGTAATCAAATTGAACGAGTTTTTCGCCGATAAAGGAATAGATCTCGATTCTTTGATAGGCATATGGTGCGATAGTGAACCAGCAAATACAGGCGTAAAAAATGGGATTTTACGTCGATTTGAAATTCAGTTAAACAGGTCACTGCATTGGTCTGTGTGTCTTCTCCACTTTAACGAACTTCCACTTCGCCATTTATTTAACAAATTGGAAAAATCATTGACCACTGGACCACGAACAAAAACTGGAATATTAAGCAAACAAATTGAAACATGCGAAAATATACCGGTGAGTTATAACATATTTACTATTTTTTAATACCCTATGTTCAAATTCAATATAATTTTTTTTTCTTATATACTTCCAGCCGGTAAAAGACTTTGAAACAATTCCACTTGAAAATTTGGCTGATATAAGTCCTGCTGAATCGACAACTGACTCAAGTTATTTAATAAAAATAGCTAAAGCAGTTGTTTCTGGAGAAGTATCAACAGACTTAGCTAACATGAAACCAGGGCCAATAGCACATTCCCGTTGGCTCACGAAGACTAGTAGGTTACTTCGGTTATATGTAACTACTAATAAGCCATCCAAAAATTTGAAAATTTTGACAAACTACGTAATGAAAGTATATATTCCAATGTACTTTAACATTAAATATTACAACTTTGTGGTGTATGGTAGTATATTATTTTATAAATTTATTAGCTGGACGCAATATTTAGACTCGAATTTAAGACAAATTGTGAACAATGTTGCTAAAGAAAACGCATACTATGCTCACTCGGAAAATATTTTATTAGCAATGTTGTTTGATAATAAAAAGAAAATACGAGATTCAGCTATAAGAAAAATCTTATATTACCGTAATAATGTGGAAGACCTGACGCAATTGAGAGATTACAAAACACCCGAAATAAATTTCGAATGCACCGACTATACTAATATGTTAGATATGGATGATTATTCAAATATATCCGAACCAGCCTTTACGCTAAATATTCCTCATGAACATCTAGTACAATATTTACAAAGCAATGAGTGTCCATGGAGTGATCTTAAAATTCCGGTCCACATTCAGGGAACTGAGAGACATGTTCAATTACTGGCTAATGTATCAAAACGCGTATTAGAGCAAAATCGCGAAGGTGTTATGACAGCGACACTACTATCTCGTGAAAAGCATCCTCGACTGGAAAGCAAGCAAGATGTCAGATATTAATTTATTTAAATTGTATTAGCTAAATGTAAGAAATTTCATTTAAAAAATATATAACTTAAAGAAATAAAAATGTTGTATTTAAACCATGTCATGTAAATAAATAATAGAATAAATATATGTCATTGCTAAAAATCCAAAAACTATATTTTTCTACAAAAGTAGTTTGACCTGTTTCGATGCAAGATTCTAGGTTGGGCTTACTCGCTAATGTCCCCTAAAAGTTTACTTGATGTAGTCTGAGGTACCCGTAAGTTACTAATTTCAAAAAGCCAGAATATGTTTTTAACCTGTTTCGATGCAAGATTCTAGGTTAGGCTTACTCGCTAATGTCCCCTAAAAGCTTACTTGATGTAGTTTGAGGTACCCGTAAATCACTGATTTCAAAAAGCCGGAAAATGTTTTTAACCTGTTTCGATGCAAAATTCTAGGTTAGGCTTACTCGCTAATGTTTCCTAAAAGTTTACTTGATGTAGTCTGAGGTACCCGTAAGTTACTGATTTCAAAAAGCCGGAAAATGTTTTTAACCTGTTTCGATGCAAGATTCTAGGATAGGCTTACTCGCTAATGTCCCTTAAAAGTTTACTTGATGTAGTCTGAAATTATATATAAATAATGAATATTTTGTTAAAAAAGAAATAAATATACTGAATATTTTATTATAAAAGAATCGAAATATTTATAGGTTAGAAGTTACTAATTATTTAGAGTATATTACAAAAATTAAATAAAAATAGCAACTTGCACGTATTTTGCACTTTGACAACTTACACGTATTCTGCAAATTGACATCTTGCACGCATTCCGCAAATTGACAACTTGCACGCATTCTGCAAATTGACAACTTGCACGTATTTTACACATTGACAACTTGCACGCATTTTGCATTATAGATAACTTATACCTACTTTGCTTATTAGCAACTTGTACGCATTTCCACGAAATTTAGCAAAAAAACATTCTCCATATTTAGAATTTAAAGTTTCTCTTAAACTTACAAAATATTTATAACTATTCTCTTGTCATTATGGTAATTGAAAGAAATAATGAATATTTCTAGTATTGGAATTTATCGATAAGTTTTGATTTACTTGCTGACTCACGCACGTTGTACAAAATAGCTAGGTAGATACAAGAAGTGTCACATGTACAGCATGTACAAGTTTTCGACTGTCAAGCCTACTGATTGTGGCATGCTGCAATGCGACATAAGGCTTAAGGCTTATGCTCTAATAGCGTGGGGTGACGTCAAGCCAACATGACAAATCCCCAAGCCAAGGGCTGAGTCTTAACGGATCGCAGCGTGGTAATTGCTCTGCCGAGTACAACACCAAGCCAGGTACCTAAGTCGTTTACAAACGATTCCGAGTCTCTACATCGAACTAGTGACCCATGATCGACCGCTTTAGGCAACGCAGATATAACGGACGGATATCGCCACTGTCAGGCGCCTCATTCGGCTAAAAATGGCTCGTGCGATAAACGGCGTGTGCCGAATACCTAATAAATCACATTGTATTGAGCCTTTCGACTCACGAGACTCCTAGAGATATCGTTGCTTACTTTGTCTAGAAAGGATACGGTCTTAGAGGCGTTCAGGCATAATCCCACGGATGGTAGCTTCGCACCACCGGCCGCTCGACCGAGTGCGTGAACCAAATGTTCGAACCTGCGGTTCCTCTCGTACTGAGCAGGATTACTATCCCAACGACGATTCATCAGCAGGGTAAAACTAACCTGTCTCACGACGGTCTAAACCCAGCTCAGGTTCCCTATTTGTGGGTGAACAATCCAACGCTTGGCGAATTCTGCTTCGCAATGATAGGAAGAGCCGACATCGAAAGATCAAAAAGCAACGTCGCTATGAATGCTTGGCCGCCACAAGCCAGTTATCCCAGTGGTAACTTTTCTGACACCTCTTGCAGAAAACTCTTCAAGCCAAAAGGATCGATAGGCCATGCTTTCGCAGTTCCTGTGCACACTGAACAACGGGATCAAGCCAGCATTTGCCCTTTCTCTCTACGCGAGAAACTCCCCGCCAAGCAGTTTTCTCGAATCGGATCACCCTAGAGTATTGTTGGCAATCGGCGCAATGCCTCACACCACTCTTATGCGCTTGGCTCTAGAAAACCGTGTCAGTCGGAACGCAAGTTTTTGACGCACGCTTTCCGCCCAATCGAGTAAGTAAAGGAACGATAAAAGTAGTGGTATTTCACCGACGATATTACTATCTCCCACTTATGCTACACCTTTTATGTCTCCTTAGAATGCCAGACTAGAGTCAAGCTCCACAGGGTCTTATTTCCCCGCTAATTTTTCCAAGCCCGTTCCCTTGGCAGTGGTTTTGCTAGAAAGTAGATAGGGACAGTGGGAATCTCGTTAATCCATTCATGCGCGTCACTAGTTAGATGACGAGGCATTTAACTACTCTATAGTCATAGTTACTCCCGCCGTTTACCCGCGCTTGCTTGAATTTCTTCACGTTGACATTCAGAGCACTGGGCAGAAATCACATTGCGTCAACACCAGCTACGGCCATTGCAAAGCTTTGTTTTAATTAGACAGACGGATTCCCCTAGTCCGTGCCAGTTCTGAGCTGATCGTTGAATGGCGGCCGAAGAGTACGACTGACCGACCGAAGCCGGCACAGAAACCTCGCAGCAAGAAAGATCCGCGGGGGGCCTAGACACGGGACCGAGCTTGGATCTAAGTCACAAGGACAATTTTACCTCGCCCAGGCCCAGCACATTGGCCTACGCCCGCTTCCCAACCAAGCCCGGCACGCCCCGATCCTCAGAGCTAATCCTTATCCCAAAGTTACGGATCCAATTTGCCGACTTCCCTTACCTACATTTATCTATCGACTAGAGGCTCTTCACCTTGGAGACCTGCTGCGGATATGGGTACGAACCGGCGCGACACCTACCGTAGACCTCTCCTGGATTTTTAAGGTCCGAGGGGAAGATACGGACACCGCCGCAACAGCGGTGCTCTTTGCGTTCCAAACCCTATCTCCCTTCTAGAGGATTCCAGGGAACTCGAACGCTCATACAGAAAAGAAAACTCTCCCCGTATTACCCAACGGCGTCTCTAGGTCATTTTGGGTTACCCCGACGAACTCTCTTGCAAAGGCTCGACTTGTAAACGGTTTCGCTGCCGGTTTCCGGAATAGGAACCGGATTCCCTTTCGCCCGATGGGTGTAAAATTTTATTCAAAATAAAATACACCAACATCAACATAGGATTTCTCCTGGGGCTTAGGATCGACTGACTCGCGTGCAACGGCTGTTCACAAGAAACCCTTCTTCACGTCAGTCCTCCAGGGCCTCGCTGGAGTATTTGCTACTACCACCAAGATCTGCACCGATGACGGCTCCAGGCAGGCTTACGCCCAAACCCTTCTGCGCACACCACCGCGACCCTCCTACTCACCAGGGCGTCAAAACGAACTATTATGAACGTTTCTCATGCCCTGGCGGACGAGTATAGGCACGACGCTTCAGCGCCATCCATTTTCAGGGCTAGTTGCTTCGGCAGGTGAGTTGTTACACACTCCTTAGCGGATTCCAACTTAAGTCTTAAGCAACCAACGCCTTTCATGGTATCCCATTATCGTCGTTTAGGCGCCTTAACTCGGCGTTTGGTTCATCCCACAGCGCCTATTCTGCTTACCAAAAGTGGCCCACTAGGTAGTCTGATTCAAATCTCTGGTTTCACTATTCAAGCAAGCCAGAGATCTCACCCATTTAAAGTTTGAGAATAGGTTGAGATCGTTTCGGCCCCAAGGCCTCTAATCATTCGCTTTACCGGATGAGACTCGCTCATCGAATGCTAGCTATCCTTAGGGAAACTTCGGAGGAAACCAGCTACTAGAAGGTTCGATTAGTCTTTCGCCCCTATACCCAGTTCCGACGATCGATTTGCACGTCAGAATCGCTACGGTCCTCCATCAGGGTTTCCCCTGACTTTGACCTGACCGGGCATAGTTCACCATCTTTCGGGTCCTAGCGTGTACGCTCTGAGCGCGTCTCTTCTCGCAATGAGAGTGAGACGCTTCGGGATTGCAAGCACGCATTCGTAGATGCGGCCCGTCTTCCCTCAGTTTACATAAGCAAACATTTACGTTCATTGCGCCTTTAGGTTTTGTATTTTCCAATGACTCGCGCACATGCTAGACTCCTTCAAAGCTCCCTCCGCCAAAGCAATAGCATCGCTGACCGGTAATAGAGTCCGTCCGAGGACACGGCAGCTAACAGCTTGAGGCGGCATCGATGTAGGATCAGGTCCGACGGCCAATAACCGTCCGTGCTTGCAACCAGCCAAACGCTTAAAAGCGACCCTATACCATATCATTTATACCGTCTGGCAGTCGACCGGAGCACGCGGGTCTGACGCGAATAAATTCGTGACAGGCTACCGCCGCGGTCATAGATCGACACCAAACGGGTCGCGGCGTCCTACTGAGAGAGAAGTGCATGCAATCGCCGCCTAACGCATAAACCGACGACGTATCGCAGAACGAATCCCGGTCAATCGCACGCCAATAAATGGAAGACAACGATAACATTGAATCTCTCCTTTCGATCTTTCGGGATTCTCAGGTTTACCCCTGAACGGTTTCACGTACTTTTGAACTCTCTCTTCAAAGTTCTTTTCAACTTTCCCTCACGGTACTTGTTCGCTATCGGTCTCGTGGTCATATTTAGCCTTAGATGGAGTTTGCCACCCACTTAGAGCTGCACTCTCAAGCAACTCGACTCTGAGTAGAAATCCTCTCGATACGCACAACGGTTGCTACGGGCCTGGCACCCTCTATGGGTAAATGGCCCCATTCAAGATGGACTTGAACTCGCCGCAACGCACCGAGATATTCGGATCCTCCCTAACACTACATTTCTCAGCGTCCGTCTCCGGCCGCGGGATTTAGTGCTGGGCTCTTCCATGTTCGCTCGCCGCTACTAAGGGAATCCTAGTTAGTTTCTTTCCCACCGCTTAGTAATATGCTTAAATTCAGCGGATAATCTCATCTGCTCTGAGGTCGTATTATGATTATGATGTGCTCGCAAACATTAGTAAGCAAGCGCACACAAAATCGACGAGAAACCTTTGAATCGTCCACATTTGCCGGAACGAAACCGAATTTCGAAAAGTTCGGGTTTCCGGTTATCGGGAGGGTCGCAAGAATATAAAATCTCTAGGACACACAACCCGCCGTAATCCTACAGAACGTCAACGAACGATAATGTCCGATGTTGCAAAGTAGACTGGCTCACACGTTGAGTGAATTATTTAAGAGCACGCATGTACGCAAAACTCGATCATTCGCCGGCAAGCCGTTTAAAGCAAGCGGCAGTCTGGTAATGTTATACGACTCTCAGCCAGAGGTGGTCCGGGAACAGTATCCGAGGACCGCAATGTGCGTTCGAAATGTCAATGTTCATGTATCCTGCAGTTCACATGTCGACGCGCAATTAGCTGCGTTCTTTATCGATCCACGAGCCAAGTGATCCACCGTTCAAGGTGATTTTATATATATTTATACATATGATGTATTTTATATATACTAATGATGCATAATACTTTATATGTTTTCTTTAGAGAAATATCGAATCGTGAGGAGTGTTGCTTTAACCTAACCGCACTTTGCATTTTGACAAGTTAACAACTACACAGATTGCTATCTAAACCATAAAAGATACAAAAAAACTTTGTTCGTACGAAAGATGCAGAATAAAATTACGAATAAAATGGTATATAAATGATTAAGTGTGTTCATATAATTTTCTCTAGATTTTCCGAATTTTCCGAATTTTCACAACGGCAACTCGCCTGTAGGCCACACCGTGCAAAATTAGAAGTTGTGATATATGAAAAAGAACTAAGAATTTTGAGACCTTTCTAATGATGTATAATACTTTATATGCTTTCTTTAGAAAAATATCGAATCGTGAGGAGTGTTGCTTTAACCTAACCGCACTTTGCATTTTGACAAGTTAACAACTACACAGATTGCTCTATACTATCTAAACCATAAAAGATACAAAAAAACTTGGTTCGTACGAAAGATGCAGAATAAAATTACGAATAAAATGGTATATAAATGGTTAAGTGTGTGTTCATATAATTTTCTCTAGATTTTCCGATTTCTCCGAATTTTTACGACGGCAACTCGCCTGTAGGCCACACCGTGCAAAATTCGAAGTTGTGATATAT